GGTAAAAGCGAAGAAGTGCTAAGATATACGTGTACTCTAGTTTAGTCAAAATATAGCAGCACAACAAGCCACCACCACCGCCTATCATGATGGTGGCTACATTCAGAAAATCGACTGACAGAATTCAGGTCAATGCTAAACAATAATGCAACAATATCACAAATTCGTTAAAAAGACAGTTAGCGTCAATGCTTCACACTTACTCAGATTATTCATTCATTGATGCACACACATACCAATATTGAGTTGACTATGGAACATAAAAGTGACGGAAAGTTCCACTTCCTCGACATTGCCATGCAACGCCTAGAAGACGGTAGCTAGTCTTCAGAAGTCAATTTGTCGAAAGCCTACTTGGAAAGGACAATTTTAATAGTTTTGGTCCAAATAGCTTTAAACGCGGACTACTAGTCAAGACTCTGTACTATAGAGAAATTATATTGAAGAATTTGAGTTTCTTGAAGAGATGTTGAAGAGTAATGGGTCTCCTTCGAAGGTTCATCAACAAATATGGAAGATCTGAAGTCACAAAGGTAAAACAAATCACACACTGGAGAAAAAGCCAATCTACATTCAGCTTGATTATAACATTGCAGCAATGATCAACAGAAGGCTGAGCACATCATTAGCCATAGCCTATCCCACAGCTAAGATTGTCCCCGTCTATCAAACAACTTGCTCTCCTTTGGTGCAATCAAAAATCGATAGATATCCTTCTCATGTTAACAACTCCAACTGTACATACAAATTTACATGTATCTGTAGGAGCAGTTACATTGGAAGGACAGAAAGAAGAAGGGCATATCTACGATTTTCTGAACATGTACCAAAAAGCTGCTTATGTCTACAGCTGGGAACAAATGCTTTAAACAGTGCCATCCGTCACCAGGCATCTCCTTGACACGGGTCGGTCATGAGGTGGACGTCGAAAAGTCGTTCAAAATTATCAACAGGCAAAAGAGCTTAATTCTCCTCAAGTTTGCTGAAGCCATTTCCATCAAACGCCTGAAACCTGATTTGTGCGTTCAGAAAGTAGCGGTTATCAGTCTTTCTTTGCCCTGCCTGTTAACTGGATATTTTCACCTCCCTTTCATCTAAATACGTAATGCATATTTTTGTTTTAAAATGAACTCTGTGTAAGTATGTTAAAGTTGCTTTTTTAGATGCATTTATTAATGTCTTTGCCCTGTAATCAACTGACGAGTAGTGAACAAATAAAAGATGGTACTATTTTATTCTGCAAAAACCACTGTTGTTCTTGCTTCATTCAATGCCATTAGTTAACCACCCGACCAGTCACACAGACATAAGTAAAAACAACACTTACTTACAGTTCCCAAAAAGGCCTTATTCTTACATATGCAGTCAGTTCCTATGGAACAACATCAGCGAGATACTAATACAGTCCCTTAGAAATGCGATCAAAAGAGCATTCATCCTGCCGAGTTGCGCTGTGTCTTCGAAACCACTCACTCCTATTTAGCGTTCCGGAGTAAAGGACAAACTGCCTAATTTCGCCTATTCCATGTGTGTGTACCTACCAATTGAACTGCTCCTGTGGAGTGAGCCAGTTACTTGCATAGGCCGTACACAATTAGGCGTGTTTCTCGTCGAATTTCCGAACATCACCCACCCTGCACAATGGTTGGTTGGTTAAGTAAAGGACAAACAAAATCCATCTATTCACAGCGCTATTCTATCTCACTCATCCTCTTGTGGATACACAACACAAGACTGATTGATGTTAACCAGGCGGCTTTCAGGGTCATTCACCGCATACCAACAACAAATCTCAATTTCGCCTTAACAGTTCGACTACTAAATATTGCTGAGGCTGACTGGCTGGCCGTTGGGATCCATATTAGCAAGCCTAATTTGTGCATCCAAAAAAAGTTGGTTGGTTCAGACATTATCCTTACCCGCTTGACCATCTAGGTTTGAATGATCGATTCTGAATTTTTGTGGAATTTTCCTAATTTTAGTTGATATTCTATTTGTTGCCATATCTTTATTATTATTATTATAATTTAAGCATCTTTAATGAACTGTGGTGATTCCATTGTGATCTTACTTTACAAATCGATATTATTTGAAAAGCACACACTAATATTGTTATTGACTACTAATCTAGAATATTCTATGTATATAAACATGCATATATAGATATAATTGTAGAGCGAGAAGAGGAGGAATTTATCGAAAAGGATATTCTTTGCTGGCTCAATTATTTTGTGATTTTTTTGCTTAAACAATCGAAAATTCATTTTTTTTTTATTATTTCACATCATAATCATGGTGTTGGTGGTCAGTCAGCCAGCCACTACTACTACCATGCGCCAACTAACTTGAAAAACGTGCTCGTGAACACTATCCAGCCTGGCTAGTAAAAGGAGAACGAAAACGTGTATATAGTTCAGTGACAGAACATCTGGTCAATTCAGGACATTCAGCGCCATTCGAAAAATCTTTCAAAGTAATATACAAGATTCGATCAAACCTATCAAAGGGAGTAAAATTGAGACATCTGGGCATAGCTGAGGCACTAGCCATCCAAAAGCTCAAACCCACGCTATGTATCCAAAAGAAATACGTCCAGCCCCTGTCCCTGCCGTGCCCTCATAAACAGGTAATTCTTCTAATAGTGACTATCCCATTGCCTTTCTTATCCAGACTTCCTGTTTATTCATGTTATTTTTAAGTTTTTCTTAATCCCTATTTACACTACGATATTTTCATATCCGAACTTCCTGTCTATTTTGTTATTTTATTATTTCTACATATTTAATCCCTAACTGCATAAACAATTATTCGTCACAATAGTTATGATCCCACTAGATTTTTGTTATCCAAACATCCTGTCTACCTATTTTGTTACTTCTACATTTCTAACCCCCAATTGCACAATCAATGTCAATCTTCTCAGTAATTATGATGCTACTTTGTTTGAGTTTTATCCGTCCCCCCGCTGTTTATTATGTCATTTTAATTCCTAATTGTAATCTATTAATTTGACCCTTGACCGGAGATTATTCTGGAACTTTCGTACCCATTTATTATAATAAATACACGAATGTACAGCTCAGCTGTCTAGTTGACGATGATTTCGTCGAAAAGAAAATTTTCTTCCTCGCTGCAACTGTCTTTTTATTATTATTCCCTAAAATCACACACGCCATTAGTAGTTGTTAACCACCCGACCAGTCACACAGATATATAAGAAAACAACACTGACTTATTTTTCTTTTTGTTTAACAATCGAAAATTCATTTTTTTAATTATTTCACATCATAATCATGGTGTTGGTGGTCAGCCAGCCAGCCACTACTACTGCTACTAGAGAGTGTAAACACTGGATCTTTCTTTTCCAGTGGAGCTCACACACACTTCTGCATTAGCAGTCGTAGGAGGAGGAGTCTGTCTGTTTTCGACATAGAACGACTTTGCACCGATCTGCAGCAGTTCAAGTCACCATCCTCCATGTAGCACACAAAGCAAGAGAAGAAATGCATAATATAGACAGTAAACAGAGGTGTGAGACAAACGTATAGTAATAACGAAGAACAATATAGTTTCATTGGAAATCATAAGTCACAAGGAGTGGATGCATCTGCGCCAGCCAGCCATTGACAACGATTTTAAGCCATGTCACCAATTGTTTCCAACCATTGGTTTTTACCGTCCCGAGGACCCCAACCAGTTAGGAAGCCAGTCTACACCTTCCTACGTGGCTTAGACTAACTGTTGTAGATTTCATTGACTGGTGAAGCCATGTTTTGGTTTGACCGCCACTAGCTCTTTTCCAGCCTGACCCTATGTCAGCTAACATTGCCCATTGTCGAGGAAGGCGATGACTAGTCATGCATACGTAACACATGTCCTAACCATCTCAGTCGATGTAATTTCACAGTCTCGTCTATTGATTTCCCCTTCCACTTACCTAGCACTCGACCGACGCCTAACCTCAATATTCCTCACCTTATTATACCACTTCACATGGGAGATAGAACGCAGACACCTATGATCGAAGACAGCTAATCACTTTTCATGTCTTCCGCTTTCAATGGCCAGGTCTCACAGCTAGCCGTAAAGGAGGACGGAGCGGACTGGTGAGCAGTGCACACGCCCTTTGGTCGATAGCCAGTCGGATATCACGTCTACACCAGAGACGGCGTAAACTGGCCTAGATTTCGTCAGAGATCAACCCATTGGGACTGTCTGATGCTACTTCCCAAGTAAGTGAAGCGGTCAACGTGCTCCATCAACCACTTCACTTCCTATTTCTAATCTAGGAGAGTCGGTGTAGTCCAATCTTGCAACATCATCTTACATTTTACAGGGGCCAACCGCACAGAGTAGGAACAATACCCAGAACAATAACAATAACCAGAACAGTAAATAATGATCACTAAAGCATATATATAAGGTAACACACGGCTGATGAAACGATAAAAAATACGCAAAGTAAGCAGTTCAGTTCAGTATGCTTCCAAAAATTGTGACAATATGCCCCATTCATTAACAACACATGATTCAAATAGAATAAAACCGGGAATCATTAATCATGGGAAAAAGAAGAAAGCGAAGACGAAGCGAAGCGATGAATCAAAAAGACGGAAGTGAAACTCACAAGTACAAACTCACGCACACACACACACACACTCAGACAGACATACAAACAGACGATTTCACAGGTTAGTCATGTTGTTGTTACCGGAAATTGACTAAAAATAGAAAAGCAGAAGAAAACAGACAAACCCCCCGCCCCTGAAAAAAAAGTATATAATATTCATTTTTATATATACATACATATATAAAACAAAATGGAAGCAAAAAAGGAAACCATAAAATTATCGAAAGACATAAGGAGACAGCGAGAGAGAGAAAGAGATGGCAACGAAAAAACAAATGGTTCAGAGGGGACGTTGTTGATAATACAACCCCCGCCCCCTCGGTAGAAAAGAAAAAGAAAAAGGAACAGAGGAGGCTGATGATGGTGGTGTTTAATCTTCCCAACCAGAAGAATCACTATTGGCATCTTTATCATCGTCATCTTCCTCGGAGGAATTCTCCATGCATTCTCGACGACGTCGAACAGCTTCATAGATTGCCTAAATAATAAGAATAACGAAAACAACAACAATAAGAACAAAACATACAATTTGCAGCAGTGATGATAATTAACAAACATCATAAGCTGTTGGTTGGTTGGTTTTGGTTGTATGAGAAGCCTGTCCGTATCAAACAACACAACACAAAAATTTGTCACTTCACATTGATACAGAAATATTAAGCACACAATATATTCAGCGTAGAAGACTCTTTTCAACAACGAATTTATTCTCTTCAAGCTGTACAATCGTATATACACATATGGCTTTTAGTTAGTGACAGAATGATCAGGCATGTATGTGTCACATGTATAACAATGGCGCTTAGAGCTTTAATACTCATTAACGCATTGAACTCCATTATGGATAAGATTTTCTTTTGATAAACAGTCTTTAATACCCTGTCCTTCTACTTTAACTACTTCTAATGTTACCTATCATGTAGCTGAAAACTTTCATGACTTTAATACTCTCGATGTTCTAAAATGTCTTAAAACGCTCAAGCCCTCACGTAGCCTTGGTCCTGATGGTATACCTGCCTATGTTCTAAAACAATGTGCAGATGTGTTGTGTTCTCCACTAACCAACATCCTAAATGCCTCTTTCTCCAAAAATATCGTACCTGATGCATGGAATGACATCAAAATTGTCCCTGTCCCCAAACCTGGAAACGGCAAGAACGTAAAGTTCAGACCCATTGCCATCACTTCCCCATTTCTAAAGCTTATGGAAAAACTAATACTTCTGAAACTTGAACCCTCTCTTAAAACTTCGAAGACCCCAAACAATTTGCCTATAGACAGGGTAGGAGTACATTAGACGCTGCAGCTGTCTTACACAACAACATCGTCTCATCATTAGATAAAGGTGCCAAATACGTTCGCTGCACGTTTCTTGACTTCACTTCTGCTTTCGACTCTGTTCCTAGATGTCTCCTGCTAAATAAGCTCTCTTTGACAAAAACTGAGTCCTGGGTCACTAACTGGCTGCATTCCTACTTCTCTAACAGAATGCAGTACACCGTATACAAAGGTAAATCATCCTCTGCTGTACTCACTGAAGCCGGAGTCCCCCAAGGTGCTGTACTCTCCCCACTTCTCTTTTGTTTTTTTTTTACATGACTTACCATCTTCAAATGACATTAATTTTGTCAAATACGCTGACGACCTGACAGTATCTTTGCCTGTCAAATATCAAAGTGACTGCTCTAAACTTAATGGCTTTCTGTCAGAAATCAGCCAGTGGTCCAAGGAAAATGGTCTTACCCTAAACCCCTCCAAATGCCAAACAGTCAATTTCATCTTTAGGCATAAATCTGACCTAAACAAACTGGTGGTTGGCTCTCACGAGGTATGCAACACAGACGGCACTGAAATAGAAACCAAATCGGAAATTAAATACCTACGCGTCAGTCATTCTATCTGCTGATCTCTCCTGGTCGTCTCATATCTTGGCGATTTCTAAGAAAAATATCCCGTCTTATCTTCTACATCAAGATGTTAGAACATTCTGATATAACCCAACCCAACCCTTACTCCTACAATTCGTTAACTCTCGCATTCTACCTATTATTCTCTATTGTTCCCCCTTAGTTTTTCCAGGGCTACTGAAGAAAGACTATAACATATTACGCAGGATGTTAAAGGTCGTCAGCAGAGTAAGCAACGTGCCACTTAACCAGCTTGTTAATATTCTGATCGACAGGCAGGCACTTGGACTCATGTGAAAAATGGGCTAAATCCATTCTGTCTAACTCACACCACCACCCTCTTCATTCACAACTCTCCCTTCGCATCTCATCAGGCAAAACCAGAAGCCTATATAGAAAACTATATGCTCGCACCAGCAAGTACAACAACTCAACCATACCAACCAGCTCAGAGAACACTTTTAATTGCAAATCATCCACCTGACCTACAAATCTTCTCTATTATACCCTACTTAGCTCGTGTTCTGGGTGATAAAGAAAGCATTAGGCGAGACACCTATAATTCATTCATCTCGTCTTTCCAACTCATATCATTTATAGGTACAACATTTTCTTTCTTTCATTTCCTTTCCTCTCTCTCCCTTTTTCCGTTATGTGCTGCTTTGTTCCTTTCTCTCGCTTACACCAGTAAATATGACAGCACCTACTTTTCTAACACCTTCAAACACTGTTTCAGCTTTTTCTTTTGCTACCGACATGCCAATATGTTGTTGTCATATTGAACTGAGATTTCTTTAATCTATGTAGAATTCTATTTATTGATAATGTACTAACTGGATGCAATACTGTAGTAAAAATGCTGAGAATTCCATTCTGTATCACAAGTACTGTTTTGGAATAAAGCAAATTATTATTATTATTCACATTGATACAGAAATATTAAGCACACAAGATATTCAGCGTAGAAGACTCTTTTCAACAACGAATTTATTCTCTTCAAGCTGTACAATCGTATATATATATATTATATAATATATATGGTTTTTACATGAAGAAATTATATCCGGTGAAGGAATTAGGTCGAAGGTGTGAATACATGAAATAATAATAGTATGAAACGCAAGTTGTTCTCTACCTCTGTAAAAGATAAGCTCCCCCCCCCGTCTGGCCGCCTCCGTGTGCATCTATCAGTTCACCTGATCCTCTTGTGGAGCAAGGTACATTGGCCGGCCGTAGTCAGAGGACGCCGCTTTCCACCACACGGATACGAGAACATATTCCAGCAGTATGGTTTTACAACGGAGAAAGGAAGTGTGTGTGTGCGAAGCTCTATTCTGGAACACCTGATCGACTTCTGTGTCACTCCACACTAACCCTGACCATGATTTTAAGATCATTTACAGAATCCATGCTAACTTGCTGGTCGCGTTTTCTTCGTTACAGACTTCTAAAGACAGCGGAGGCCTTGGCAATTCATTCATGAATTTAAGCCAGCCAGACTTTGTGTACAAAAGAAGTATGTACAATCCCTACTTCTGCCTTGGCCGTAGAGGGATAGACATTTATTTATTTTGTTTATTTAGTTATTCTATGTACTTTTCCCTTATTACTACGATTATTATTATCATTATTATTATTACTATTCTCACTCTGAATTGTTTCCACTTGACCCACTTGTCATTTTAAATCCAAAATTGAATTCCATCTTATCAAATTTCACACCATGTTATGTAACATTTTATATTCGCCTACTAATCCTATAATTATGTACTCCTTTCCAACAACATCTATACACCCATCTTATGTATTATTCTATATATGACATTAATTGTTTTGCCACTTGACATTTAACTATGATTATAATCACAAATATTTTAATTGACATTTCATATTATTATTATTATTATTATTTCATGTATTCACACCTTTGATCTAATTCCCTCCCTTGCCGGATATAATTTCTTAAAAAAAAACCATATGTGTATATACGATTGTACAGCTTGAAGGGAATAAATTCGTTGTTGAAAAGAGTCTCTTCGCTGAATATCTCTTGTGTTCTTAATGCTACAATGGGGGGAATTATTAAATTACAGAAATATTAAACAGTTTTTGACAATTCAATTAGAACGCGTACGGGTTTAACTATCGGCTTCATCAGCTGCGAATGAAAAGCATACAGCTGACAATCATTGGAATTAATTAGTCCCACAAACTGGAAGATATGCAAGCGAAAAGCAACAAGTTGGCAGAACAAGCATCCAGAGAAGATAGGACTCCCTTCAGGTGAGGTGAACATAGAGAAAACAGAGGTTATGAAGATTCCTGGACAAGAACAACAACAACAGACAACGATCAGCATAAATGGAAGGAACCTGAAAGAAACAACCTCCTTCACCTACCTACCTACCTACCTGGGAAGCATCGTTTCAACTACAGGTGGACTCAACTGACGAGAATATCAAAGCAAGAATCGGAAAAGCAAGACAAGCTTTCACTACTCTCAAGTCTGTGTGGACGTCAACAGACAGCAGCACTCAGCATCAAAAATAAGATCGGGATTTTCAACTTCAATGTTAAATCAGTCAGTGCTACTATACGGATCAGAGACTTGACCAGCGGGTCATAAAGACCACCTCAAACAAACTACAGACCTTCATCAACAGTTGTCTTCGCTCAATACCACTCAAGATCAGACGGCTGACCAGAAGACGTTAGCAACAGGGAGGGATCTCTGGGAGCGAACCGACCAGGAACCAATTGTGCAACAAATAGGCAGGAAGAAATGGAGATGGATTGGCCATACTCTGAGGAAACAAACCATCAAGTGAGTGACATCACTAGACAAGCTATTGCTCGAATAGAACCCGAAAGGGAAGCGGCTAGTTGGTCGTCAGCGTGAGGGTGACTTGGAGGAGGTCATGTGAAGAGGAGATGAAAACGTGTGGGCAGACTTGGAACCAGGTGAAGACTCTAGCAGAGAGCCGAACGCAATAGAGACGCATGGCTGGAGCAGCAGCACTATATCGCATTTTTGATTAATGAATCCGGCATCTTCAATGATGATTGGTGCAAATTGTCAAAGTGTAATAATATCAGTAATAATAATAACTGTCGCTCATAGCCACACCGCAGCTGAAAGCTAACACGAATAATAAAAAGGCAATCACGGTATAAATTAGGACTAGAGATTGCAAAAAAAAATAAATCTGTTATCTCATAGTAGGTAGTCCTAATCACAAGTCCAATAAGATTTTCATAGGCTATGTGAATTGTTCAAAAAGGTAGGTGGTGGTGGTGTATCTAGAAGTGTGTTGGATAGCTTTCGTTGCAGCAGGAATTTCACAACCCCTAATGTGTTTTTTGTTTTCATTTCTTTTGAGTTTCGAGGTTTCATCAGTAGAGATTGTGTCAATTATGAGGGATGAGGTTGCTAACCGCCTCACGACCAACCAACCTCCACTGTTTCTCAAAGTAACTGCCGGCTAGATGAGGTTTATGAGTGCGCCGGATGGGAATCGAACCCGGGACTATGTGTGTGTGTGTGGCTGGCGAGGACTTTATCTCTGAACCA